TGAATGTAACCTCCTTTCCTCTGTCTCCTTTGTCTCCTTTGTCCCAGGCCTGAGCAACATCATAGGGATCATCGTCTACATATCAGCCAACTCCGGGGACCCTTCCAAGAGCGACTCGAAGAAGAACAGCTACTCGTACGGCTGGTCCTTCTACTTCGGCGCTCTTTCCTTCATCATGGCGGAGATGGTGGGCGTCCTGGCCGTTCACATGTTCATCGACCGGCATCGGGAGTTACGTGTCGGTGTGCGAGCGGCCGATTACCTCCAAGGTGCGGCGATAACACGCATCCCGAGCTACCGCTACCGCTATCGGCGCCGCTCACGCTCCTCGTCCCGCTCCACGGACCCCTCTCACTCCCGGGAGACGTCCCCTGTGGGCCTGAAAGCCTTCGGGGCGCTTCCTTCCACCGAGTTGTCCATGTACACGCTGCCTAAAGGTCAAACAGGCACCCCGACGGCCGACTATAACTCCGAGGAGAGGGACCACAACTTCCTGCAGGTCCACAACTGCATCCAGAAGGACCTGAAAGACTCGGCCGCCAACCGGCGCACCACGCCTGTATGAAACTGAATATCAGACTATAACAGTGGCGTACAAGATTACTTCACCTTCACAGCAGCTCAGACTAGTTTCTGTTTTTAGAACTAAACAAGGAGACTGCATACAAAAGAAACATGCATGATTTCCCATCTACCATTGAGTTTTGAAACATGTTTGTAAAGATATAAGAGGAGTTGGGAGGGGGGGTGTTTACGGGTGGTTATCTGTGGAGTGGTGGGCCAACCTTATATTTTATTACTCTTCCTCAGTGTTATAACATGGGGGCGTAGTTGCCCCCTCGGCCCCACCCAAAAGCCCCCCAACAACACACCTCCTAGCCTCCCTCCTTTCTTTAGTTTGCTGTATCTTCTTTGATTTAATTCTTTATTCGCATTAATACTGTGAACCGTTGCGGTGTGGGATTTAAGCAGGGAGCAATTCAGGCCTCAAAAAAACTGAGAAAAAACAAGAAAAAAACACATAAGTTAATATGTATTGATTATATATGAATATATGAATATATATGTTAATAAAATCATGACTAGACTTCCCTGGCGCAAAAATATCAACGAGAAAAAAGTCATTTAATCAAGACGTCGAGGAACACCGAGGATTCTTCGCGGCTCATTTGACGAGCAAAGGTTTTCGACCCGATGAACTGATATTGGTTAGTATTAGACGCGGTTACTTTATTTTACAACAGTAACAAATTATCGTTTGGCCTTCCGCCGAACCCTGGTCGCCATCTTTGTTCAGGGTCAAGTCGAGGTGAAAAGGTTGACATTGTTTTTTTTGTTTTGCTCTGAAAAGGGGCGGAGACAAGAGAGAACTCTGGGTAATGGAGGATCTCTCAGCAAACTTAAAGAAGACTGTGGACAATGAGACGTTCACTACTACTGCCAAAGACACAAAGTAGTGCGTGAGAAAACATGGCTACCAGCGAGGTGAAGCTTAAGTGACTCCAAACATTTAGAATTGACATGCATGCTAATCAAAACCATCCAATCTGCTTTAAGAAACCTATGTTTTGAATAATGATACCATGTAAGGGCAGTGGGGGTGACGACGTAGAAGTTAATGTTACAGTACTGTGTCTATTTAACTTTATTTTCTTATGTTTTGGGTACTTTTTGGGGATGGGGCTTCATTACGCTTGAAACAAGGACTTTGGAGAACGTATCAAGGCTTTTTTTCCTTTAATTTAATTTCCTCGGTTCCTTTGAACTCTCACACAGCCTTTGTCTCTTTTTTCTTTGTCTCCTTTTTTCTTGTTCTTTGGTTTTGTGTTGTTGTAAATGAGAATTTAAAAAAGCGTAATGTCTTTCAAGGTGCCAAAACTGAATGATTCTGAACTTGGATGCATCAAGTCCTGATGACGAATAAAAATGGAACCCCCCGTAGGGAACAGACAGTGTTTGTTGTATAATGCTTAAGAACGAGGAGGACCAGCAAAGTGAGTCCTTCAATTAAATTGTTGTGTTTATTTCAGGAAGTTGTGGTTTTCCGACAAACAAAGGTCTCTTCCAGGTATAGAAAAATGTCTGTGGAGATGATCTTCAATGGAGTCTCTTACGTTGCCAATAATACCAAGGAAGCTAACCCTTACATTGCTAGTTCTCGAAGAGGGGCGAGAATTGGCGTGGATGATGTTGAATGATCTGTTTGCTTTACCATCAATTCAACATCCATTTTCTTTCTTTCTAACGCGGGCAAAGTGCACGGCTAACAGTTATTTTGCTGCCTGGATAGCTTGTTAGCTCGTCAGTTGTAGCATATTTGAACAGCTTAAAAAGCCACGGATGGTGTGTTTTTTAAAATGGTTTGTTCCTGATTCTTCGATACTGCTGCTAACAAAACCCTTCTATTATTGGATGGTAAGTCACCAACAAGTGTGTTTACTCCGACTGTATTTACATGCAAAAAGTATTCTGACCATTTCCTGAAAAAGACAATATTTCTAAAGCTAAGACAGCTAAAGAAAATGAATACTCATCTAAAAATCCAGTTTAGATGCAATGCCTAAATATATATGTTTTAATCGTCTGTTCTTTTATTCCTTTAACACCTTTCTTGCAAAGGTTGAGTTTGATATAATTGCGCATTTCCAACAACCTGCTTATAGCCAAGTCTGGTGTATAATATTTTTTGATTGGTGTTTCTCCTTCCAATCAGAGTTGTGGGTTTGTTTTTGGGCATGCATCTCTAGTTGGTTTGTTGGTTAGTTGGCTGTAAACCGGCAAGATGTTGTGTTTTTTTTTCTTTCTGTATGTGTTGTTTACATGTCCAAAGAATGCTCCTCAAACCTGAACACTATCGACATATCACACACATCTTTAGGAATAAGTACAACCTTATATGGAATCCAAACAGAATATGGTGTTTACGTGATCCATATAAAATCTAATTATTGACATATTCATAATAAGTATTACTGTACAGATATCAGCGCCATTGTGTCTCATGGTGTGCCTGGCCCAGGTGCTTTTCTGAGGCAGATGTTGTACCCTTAGATTAGAAACATTTGGGGTTTCAGTCGGACATCAGGATTAAGTGACATTTCACAACTTCCTCATACATGACGAAAAGGGAGCTGAGCCAGAAGGCAAAGCTCTCTGTCTACCGGGCCATTTCGTTCCTACCCTCACCTATGGTCATGAAGGATGGGTCATGACCGAAAGAACGAGATCGCGGATACAAGCGGCCGAGATGGGTTTTCTCCGCAGGGTGGCTGGTGTCTCCCTTAGGGATAAGGTGAGAAGTTCGGTCATCCGGGAGGGACTCGGAGTTGAGACGCTCCTCCTTCGCGTTGAAAGGAGCCAGTTGAGGTGGTTCGGGCACCTAGTTAGGATGCCACCTGGGCGCCTCCCTAGGGAGGTGTTCCAGGCACGTCCAGCTGGTACGTGCTGCATTCGACACGGTGAATCATCAGATCCTCCTTCGCACTCTCCAAAAACTTGGAGTTTCAGGCTCTGCACTTTCCCTCCTCACCTCATACCTGAAAGACCGTACCTACAGGGTTACTTGGAGAGGGTCTGAGTCCGACCCTTGTCAATTAACTACGGGGGTCCCTCAGGGCTCTGTTCTTGGTCCCCTCCTCTTCTCCCTGTACACAAACTCGCTCGGATCAGTCATTAGACCGCATGGTTTTTCTTACCACTGCTACGCTGACGACACCCAATTAATTCTGTCCTTTCCCCGCTCAGAGACCCAGGTCGTTGCACGCATCTCTGCTTGTCTAGCTGACATCTCTCAGTGGATGTCTGCTCACCACCTCAAGCTCAACCTTGACAAGACTGAGCTGCTCTTCCTCCCGGGAAAAGATTGTCCCACTCTTGACCTAACAATCAACATCGGCACCTCAGTTGTTTCCCCGACTCAGACTGCAAGGAATCTGGGTGTGACCCTAGATAACAACCTGTCCTTCACTGCAAACATCGCTGCTACAACCCGCTGCTGCAGATACACGCTTTACAACATCAGGAAGATACGTCCCCAGCTGACTCAGAAAGCGACTCAGGTTCTGGTCCAGGCTCTCGTCATCTCACGCCTAGACTACTGCAACTCCCTCCTGGCTGGTCTACCTGCATGTGCGATCCGACCTCTGCAGCTCATCCAGAATGCAGCGGCTCGTCTGGTCTTCAACCTTCCTAAATTCTCCCACACCACTCCGCTCCTCCGCTCCCTCCACTGGCTTCCAGTAACTGCTAGAATCCACTTCAAGACACTGGTACTTGCGTACCATGCTGCGAATGGATCTGGCCCTTCCTACATCCAGGACATGGTTAAACCGTACACCCCAGCGCGTGCACTCCGCTCTGCATCAGCCAAACGACTCGCTGCACCCTCGCTGCGAGGGGGACCCAAGTTCCCATCGGCGAAAACACGTGGGTTTGCTGTCCTGGCTCCAAGATGGTGGAATGAGCTCCCCATTGACATCAGGACGGCAGATAGCTTGCACATCTTCCGGCGCAAACTGAAAACTCATCTCTTTCGACTCCACTTCGAGCGATAGAACTATTAACAAAGCACTTATATACTAATAAAGGACTGGCTTACCTAAAGCCAGTTGAGTAGCACTTGAAATGTTTGGCTCTATGAAACCTGATGTACTTATATGATTCTGTTTTCTTCAAGGTTGTGTCTTCCTGGTCGAATGTACTTATTGTAAGTCGCTTTGGATAAAAGCGTCAGCTAAATGCAATGTAATGTAATAATGTAATGTAATGGAAGAGACCAAGGGGTAGACCTAGGACCGGGTGGAGGGATTATATCTCTTCGCTGGCCTGGGAGCGCCTTGGGATCCCCCAGTCAGAGCTGGTTGATGTGGCCAGGGAAAAGGAAGTTCGGGGCTCTCTGCTGGAACTGCTACCCCCGCGACCCGACCACGGATAAGCGGGAGAAGATGGATGGATGGATCATACACTACTTTGTCTAAGCCGGATAACAGGGTCGCTAAATACCCCGTAAAATGTTAAAGTGATGCCAGAAATCAATATTTGTCTTCCTCAACAACTGTATAATGACTCCAAAAATATGAGTACCAAACAGAGCGCCAGACGGCAGAGAGAGCTTTGTTTTCCGATGTCATGTTGTTGTTTACGTCAGGAGACATCTTGTATACGGGTGTCATGTTCTCCTGATAATTGATATATCTTATAAACAAGATCAGAGACACGGTATCGCCCGTACATGCATGCGACACAATGATTTGGTGCTTTGGCAGCTATGATACAGTTTAACCTGCCTTAACTTCACCATACTGCTCATTATTTTCCCACTAAGACCATTGAAATAGTTTGCTCTTGTTGGGTTTACGGTTGTGGAACATGCAGAAGTGCAATGCAGTACAGATAAGAGTTCCTCAGGGTGAAACAGTGTGACCCTACCTGGGTCTTACCCCTGTTTTAACATATCATATATAAATATCCTGTAACATGAACACTGCCTTTTCAAATCCCTCCTTCATCCTCCACATGTATAACTTTCCCTCTTCTTATTCAACTGTCATTCTCTCCTTCTGCATTCAATGTCAGATCGAACAGCAGTCTATATGTCCTGCTGCATGATCCCTCTCTCCTTCCCTCCTTCCTCTCTCTCTCCTCCCCCGGTGTGATGATCAAAGTGGCTGCATGTCTCTCTGCAGCACTGCTGTGATCACTGAAGAGAGGGAGGAAGAGGAGGAGGAGGAGAAGGAGGGAGGAAGAGGAGAAACAGCGCCCCCTTCTGGTGTGGAGGTACGTCAAGGATTTCCTCACATTAAACTCCACAAAGTGCACGAAACATAAATCTTCCACAGCAGTGAGCAGCGTGTGTAAAGTGGACATTAAATTCAATCAGCTTTCCCTTTAAGATTTACATCTGTACAATATATAAATGTGTGTGTGTGTGTGTGTGTGTGTGTGGGTGTGTGTGTGTGGTGTTGTGGTGTGTGTGTGTGTGTGTGTGTGTGTGTGATGTGGTGTGTGTGTGTGTGTGTGTGTGTGTGTGTGTGTGTGTGTGTGTGTGTGTGTGTGTGTGTGTGTGTGTGTGTGTGTGTGTGTGTGTGTGTTGTGTGTGTGGTGTGTGTTGTGTGTGTGTGTGTGTGTGTGGTGTGTGTGTGTGTGTGTGTGTGTGTGTGTGTGTACATTGATGGAGAAGGTAATGCAGTAGTATGGGTACTTGAACTGAGTATTTCAAAGTGCATGAAACTTAAATCTTCCACAGTGAGCAGTGTGGGTAAAGTGGAGGGTGAAGATTAATATCAGTGCTTTAAATGATATAAATATACGGTGACGTCCCCTAATAGTCTAGCGGTGAAAGGGAAGCAATTAAATATAAAATAACCGGGAGCAAGAAAGAACGAGGAAACTGATTTTTGAAGCCAAAGGAAAATACTTTCATTCATCAAAAATACAGAGGGCTGACGAACAAGTAACACAACTAACTGAAGGTCAATTAAAACAACCTTCCTACAAAAGAAAGTGATAACAATAAACCATGTTGAAAGAAACAATGGAGCACATCTCTAAACACTTTACCAAACACTTCAAAGGGTCACACGCTGCCGTTCAGCCCTGAGGAGAGGGGAAGAGGCAATAGATAGATATAAGTTATTTCAAAGTTGAAGTATTGGTGGGAGGGACGGTGCAAAAAATATTCAAAATGTCCATCCCAGCTTCTCAAAGTCCAACGGGATGTCTTTATCCCTCCAACACCAAAAGATTGTATCTATAGGAAAAGAGCAGACATTTCTACATGAAAAATGCATCGAAGATAGTTGGCTGTGATTTTTTGGACGATGTTCAAATCGTTTAGTAGACTTAGACGGTTTGAAAAAAGCTGTCGTGTTTCTCAAATAACTAGAAATGAAATAAAACATTTGTCTTATTTTGCAGGTGGATTTGGAAGACGATTTGTGTCTTTCTGCAGACG